TTGTCTCAATCGGACATATATTGCGAGCTTGGTGCACCATTCACATTAAATCGGACGGAACTATGTATAGGAGCTATATCTAAATCTTCAATTTCAATAGGGTTCCTCCTTGATCCAATAAGTGACTTGTGCCAAATTTCTAGCAATTCCAGAATACAAAACGAGTTATTAGAATAAATTCGGAAGTCTATTGTTGAAGAAGTGAAAAGTGCTGTATTCTTTTCGGTTTAGCGGACGAAACTACGGATAAAGAGACAGCTATCAATATGTATAAGATTTTTGTATAGGATATCTAAAAAAGCAAGAGAATGTTTCCTTTGCTACATGCAAGTAGAATGATTAATAGGAAAATAATTCTCGACCGTCATAATAACCACAATAATCAGGTTGGGATTGCATCCAACATTTTTGCTAGGTTAAGTATATAATGGCACGTCTAATATGTCAGGCAATTATAATGAAGTGCAGGCCATTATTAAATCTAAATCGGGGGATATTATAAAATACCAATCGCAATTCATAAGATTTTACGAATTATAATTGGTAGATTACAGTTCACAGTGTATTTTATATACAAACAATTTATAAGCAGTCTGTTTAGAAGTACAAAACATACAAATGTCATTTAGGCAGAAGACCTTTATATCCAGAACTGATTATCTATAATTGGTCGCTACGCTATATATATATATATATATATTAGTTTGGGGGAAAATGAATTCATTATTTTTATCTTTATATTCATTATATATATATATATATATGCTAAAACTCGAGAACGGCTGAACGGACTTGAAATGCGGAAGTTCAGGGAAGGTTTAAAAGGTGAGAAAATATGAATAAATACCGCGAAAACTCTAAAAGCTGGCTTTTATAATTTCCATACAAATGCTTTCTAAATAAAATGTAGTCATAGAGACAGTTTGCATTTTGTGTCAAATTATTTTTTTTGTTTGAAAAATTTTAAGTTTCTGAAAGCAACCATAATGTATTGAAACATTTATTGTGAGAATGCAGATCATTAAGTGTACATGTTTTTCATAAAATGCACGTAAATTTTGGGACAAATGCAAGGATGAAAATCAGAAGACATTCGAAATAGATTTCTGATTCTAAGATACATGCCCTAGATTATTTTTCTTGAAACTTCAACTTCAACTTCAACATAGCGAAAATGAAACGGGAAATATGTATGGCGCCTTTTAAATACAATTCCATGAGAAAATTGTCAAAGTCTTTACAATACCGAAAATGGGGCGGGAACTGTATGTAGGCTTTATCAAAACTTGGTCCTTAATAGAAATGTTTCCGCAAAAATTTGTTTTACCCTTCAATATCCCGGAATGATATATGATATGAATGATATATGATACTACAATGGGAATGGGTATGTACTAAATTTTGTGTCTACCCGGAAACTTGGACCAATATTGATAATTTTTGGTAAAGAGGATTTGATCATTCAAAATAAAACATTACAGCCACTTTGGTTGAAACACTGGACCAAACTGCCAAAAATACGAATATTGTGGGTACCGCTATATGGGAGTTGCCTCAAAGAGTCGACCAATATTGACAATTTTAGTATGAATTCTACCATATAAAACCACCAAATACCAAATTAGGGTTACCTTTAAAATCGTGCTCAAATGACCCACATTACCCAAAAAGGAAGCTTAGGCGAATATGAAATTACAGCCAAATACCGAATATTAAGGGATACCGTTATATGGGGGCTATACGAATAGGCAAACCAATATTGAATATTTTAATTAGGGAGATTTTCTGCTTAATAAGTATCAGTAATATTAAATTAGTAGCAATTCTCTTACAAGCCCCCATATAACGGTATTGTTATATGGGGGCTACCCTAAAGTGGACCAAAAATTGAACATTTTTAATATCAAATATCTTATGAGTAGTAGAAATGTATGACCAAATTTCAAAGTTCTATCTTTAAAGTTCTGGAGGGAGCAACAAAATTCGCTCATAAGCATCAAATTGTAGATATTCAGTTTTGTAATGTTATTTTATGTGTGCTCTGACAAATTCTTATGGTGGAGGGTAGATAAACAAAGCAACAATACCAAAAATTATACATCAATCATATTGCTAGGCAAGGCAACGTTTGCCGGGCTCGCTAGTATATATATATATATATATATATGAACTATAGGACATGCTTCCGAATGTCCGATTTGGGCCAAATATACACCGTTTTGTTGTACGACTTGTTGCCATTTTAAATGCATTTCTGGATCATTTCCTCGATTTTATCGGCATTTTTGACGACCGGCCTAACATCTGGATACATATATTTCCTGAAATTCGCCTTCTGGATGACCTGATATTTGTGTCATGATATTAACTAAACAAAAAGTCGCCTAGCCTGCAACATTTCAAAACTCACAATAAAAATTTTAGCATGACAAGCTTAAATCGATTCCGAATTTCTAGGTAACCTATATTCTGGTTATAAAGAAATACACATATTTATGTTATCTTATATTTTTACTAATATATGAAAATACAAACATTTTAAACAAAAAATGGTTTAATCCATTGGTTTAATCCAGAACCTGTATGAGAACTTCTATTCTTACACGGAAAATTCATTAATATCAATTAATCTGTCATTGCCGCCTTAAAGTTTTAATTCGCACACACACAATATTATTTAGCACAATTTCTATTTAAAGTGTTACTGTATAAATGATATTGTATAAATCATATGTGGTTTAATAAAAAAAAACTTACCTCTAGTTATAGGTCGACGCTTAAAATACGGCCACAAATCTTGTTTGCAACAGACCAACTGTTCGTCTTTCTCCGTCTGACACAAAGTGGCATTTTTAGCCGTTAATGCTGTCGGACAATTTTGTAAACTCATACATATGCCGCTGGTTTTGTCAGGAAATATGCATCCAATTGGTAATGGTTCCTTGACCATTGGTAATGGTTCCATGACCATTGGTATTGGTTCCATGACCATTGGTAATGGATCCTTGACCATTGGTAATGGTTCCATGACCATTGGTATTGGTTCCATGACCATTGGTAATGGATCCTTGACCATTGGTAATGGTTCCATGACCATTGGTAATGGATCTTTGACCATTGGTAATGGATCCTTGACCATTGGTAATGGATCCCTAACCATGGGTAATGGATCCCTGACCATTGGTAATGGATCCCTAACCATGGGTAATGGATCCCTGACCATTGGTAATGGATCCCTAACCATGGTTAATGGATCCCTGACCATGGGTAAATTAACACGGTAGGAAGAAACTACGAATAGATTTGATTTTTATTTAAAAATAATCGATATGCGAATTTTATTTACAACTCACGATATTGCAAAAAATTTATTAATTTAGTAATCAGCATTTGTTATGGAGTTGATTTTTTGTTTGTTTTTCAATGAACCGGCAAAACGATGTTAACTTCTTCGTGGTTCGTCTTAGAATGTTTATTGTTGACACACGTGGGCATATCTATTCAATGAAGCCGTAAACTGAAGTGATAACCAGTTTTTAACAAAAGCATAGAATAAACGGAAATAGATAGATATATAGATAAATAAAATCATGGAATTAAATAAATTCAAAAAACAAAACAAAAGCAATAAAATGTTTTTATTAAAAATGAGATTTTTTTTTTTGTATTAAGATAAATCAACATGTTATCTTTACCAACGGGTTGATGTCAGTGCTAAAAGGGAACTTAATTAAAAATAAATTAAATAAATTAAAGAAGCATAAGAAATTTAATAAAATGTTTATTTTAAAAATTATATAGTTTTTTGTATTAAATAAAGGTTAAGGTTAGTCAAATTTCTATCCTTACCAACGGGTTGATGTCACTGCTAAAAGTATATTAAAAATTACATTCGTTTACATACACAGGGTTGCCATGCTAAGAGCACCAACTGATTTCCGAATGTTTCAACAAAAAGAGTGATATTTTCCATTTATAGAACCATTCAATTAAAATCGAGCATAACAAATGCTACTCAAAATGATTGCGGTGAACAAATTAACTGCCGATCATTGTTAAACCGTTTGTATAAAAGCCGACGAAATTAAATTTCAGATCGATATTATTCAATCCATACACATGCCATTCGATAATCTATGCACAATTTCATATGAAGATTCGGGAAGGTTTAAATCCATGGTTGTTCAATTTATATGAAATCGGACAAAATTTAGATATGAGAACTATATTTAGATCTAATCGGATTTAAAGATATTCCGTATTATTAAAAACTCTGAACCGATTTGAACAAAACATAAAACACATAATTAATAACTCAATTCAGTGCACTATGCGAAACATGTTGGACCATTTTCATAAAATCAGACCAAAATAGATGTGGAAGCAATATCTAAATCTGAGCCAAAGTATTTACGTATATATCGTCTCAATCAAACAATCATTGGAACTTTGGAGGAATATTTTGAAATTGAATGGAAATATATATGTAAGCAAGAATGATTAAAATACGCTCTTTCTCACGAATGCTCACGGCGAGAATTCGAATGTTTTCAATTTATCACGAATGATAAAGTTACAATGAATGAAAAAATTTCAACCACCAAACTAAACGAACGATTTTTGCTGTGTGCTATCACTCGTTTTTATGTGTGTGCGAACATTCTTTGGCGAATGCTTTAGAATTTATCGTCATAAATTCATTCGTTAAATGAGCACAAAACGAAAAAAATGTATTTGAATCATTCGCGAGCGAATTTTTGCGCAACCTGTATGTAAAGGAACCTATATCTGAATCTCAACTGTTGGTGTACTGGAACTTATAAAAAACATGTGGTGATCATCTGCAAATACCGATTCTCTAAAAAGTTGATATTGAACCACTGTACGACTGATTTTTTTACATACAGGTTCATTATCCGTATTTTATGATGCTTGCAAAAGAACTTAACGCTATTTAACATTCTTTTACAGAAAGATACATGAAATATTTATGTCTATATTTAAGAATTTTTGGTTTTATTATAAACTATGTCATCGATCCAATCGATATATTCTGAAACTCTTGTATATACACCGGGTATATTTAGAGCACAACCACGACCAAAAGAGGTAATCCCAACAACATATTGTGTATAAAATCCATCAGGATTAACGGAATTCATAATTAAAGGGCCGCCAGAATCGCCCTAAAAATAATAAAAAATAAAAATTTCTTCGAACTTGATTTGATTTTCAAAATTCTACCTGGCACGTATCACTGTTCCTTTCAAAATCCTGAGCACATAGCTGAGTTTCGTGTATACCATTAGGCAATGTGGTTTCGTCTGTAAAGTGTTGGGTACAGTTTTTATTCGGTATCACAGATAAATATGTTTTCAGCAAACTCTCAGATGTGGGACCAGCTGTAAAACATAATAATTGTTTTATTTGTAATTTTTTATGATTTTTTTCTGTTAATACCAAATTGCGTGGTTCCATAACCAATTGCAGTCAAATTAATCTTATCCAACGCATAAAGACTCCAAAGACAAGCTGAATTCTCGATGACATAATGTTCAAGTTTTATCAAAGCTATATCATTATATGACTCATTTCGTTTGTAGTCTGGATGGACTATAACTTCAGTAACGCCTATGGGTTTATTGGAAGAATCGGTTAAATTGTTACCACCAATTAAAACAACAGACGGTGGAGATCTAGATTAAAAAAATTAATAATTTAGTTTAAAGTTACATAAATTTATGAATAAATATTTATTTTTACCCATTTAGACGAGCACAATGTGCCGCTGTTAGGACATAAGTCGGTGTTATTAGAACTCCACCACATTTATATTCGTAGGGTTCATCGAAAAATGTTGACTCCCAACCTAAGGCCGCCTTATAGATGAGAAAAAAATAGCGAATCATAAGAGACAGTAGCAATATCAGATATACACATTTACCATAAATGGAAACTCCTTTTCTTTGGTAAGAAAACCTCTTATTATATTTACAATCGGAACGCCACATCCTATAAATATTAAAAGTTTTATGAGAAGGAAAAAAAATCGGGCGATAATCGTGCAAACACTGTATATCTCAAATCGACTCAGAAGTTGTATATTACAAACACTTATAAAAAGTACCACAAAATGTAAAAAAAACTGTTAAGTTCGGAAGGGCTAAACTTTGTATACCCTCCAGACGAACTGGGCATTTAAAGTATCTGTAATCGTATATATATATATATATATATATGGGCAATATTGCCAATTTTTTAACATAGTTGATGTGCCACAAAAACAAAAAAACTAATTTTTTGAAAATGGAATATTAAAAAATTGGCAATATTGCCCATATATATATATATATATATATATTGAGCTGTGCCATGGTACATTTTTGGCAAGAAGTTTTGACAAACGATGAGAACGTAATTACAGCCAAATCGCGTAAAATGCATATATCGACATTCTGATCAAAAAATGTTAAAAAATAATTTGATATGTACAAGTTCGCCCACTGTGTTTTAAATATTTATAAAATTTTGCATTGACCCAAAATTATTTTTTTATTGTTAAACAAAATATTTCAGTAAAAATATTGATGACATCATCACAAAACCAAGGTCAGATAAGTTGATGTGTTATGCTAACAAATCTTGACGCACAGCCAGATAATTTTAAATATATGCTAATATCATGTATCTATAACATTGAAACTTTAACAGCGTTTTTTTTTTAAGAATAGATACCTAATCAATAATCTGATCGAATGACATGGCGGCTGTTTGTGATCGATTGTTAAACTTTTATGGTGATAGAAACTACTAATATTAACAGTAAGAAAGATGTTTAGTTCGGCTGGACCGAACTTTTTATACCCTCACAATGAGGATGACAATCAAGATGTCTAAAATTAATGGGGGCTCCTAGGAGAAAAATCATATTATGATAGGACCTTACACATACCGAAAACCAGTAAGGAAGCAAGTTCAAAAGTACATACACGAGATGCTAATAGGTACAATATCCTTTAGATAGATAAATATAGCATCTTTGGTATACCATTGAAATGGAATCGGACGAAATTAATATGTGTATTATGGAGTATTTGAGCAACCGTGGTATACACCATTTGGTATGCTGTCACACAGTGCGCTATCCCAAATATATCTCGACACAAAATCCATAACTTCGGTGCACGATTTACATAAAATCGGACGAAACTATATATGGAAGCTAAATCTAAATCTGAACGTATCTCAACAAAATTTCACGGATGTCAACTTGTAGGAACATCAAAACGCAAAGCATATCTCAATCGAACAAACATTGACAGTATGTAACTATATATGGGAGCTATATCTAAATTTGAATCGATTGCAATAAAACTTCGCATACATCAGTCTGGACCTAATTCAGTATGCTGTGCAATTTTTTGTCTCGATCGGACAAATATTTGGTGTTTGATGAAACATTTAGTTAAAATCGGGCAAAAAATATATATGGGTGCTATATCTAAATCTGCACCGATTTTAGGGTTCTTCCGTAGGTCAAATAAGTGACTTGCACCATATTCCATCCAAATCAGATCATAAATGCGACCTGTACTTTATTCAAAAAAATACATGGACAGACGAATGGGCGGACATGCATAAATAAACTCAGAAAGTGATCCTATGCATATAATCAAAATGAACAATATGTCTATCTCGTTTCCTTTTGCCTGTTACAAACATATGCACAAAGGCATAATACCCTGTACCACAGTGTGGTGAAGGGTATAAATAGAGGCTATATGGGGACTACCCACAACGCGGGGCGAATATAACTGATTTTTGGGAGGAAAATGTTTTACAACATACGACTACAAAATACCAAATTACTGCGAATTCGGTTAAAAAACGCACTGAAAACCCTCAAAATACTAAACATTTGGGGGTACCGTTATATGAGCCGATATTTATAATTTTTAGTGGAGAGATTTACTACAGGATAAGAACGCAATGTTCCAAATTTCAACGGATTCGGTTGAAGAATGCGCTTACGAACCTCAATGTACCGAAAATTGGGGGGTACCAGAAAAAAATCGACCTATATATATTATTTTTAGTGGTGAGATTAAGGTCCGAATAAGAACCCATTTTACCAAATTTCAGCGAAGTCGGATGAAAAGCGCGCTCAAGAACCCCAAAATAATAAATATATGTGCGTACCTTTATATGGGGGATACCAAAAAAATGGACCGATATTTATAATTTTTGATGAAGAATATTGGTACCCAATAAGAATCCATTGTACCAAATTGCAGCGTATTCGGTTGAAAAGCGCGCTCCAGAACCGAAAAATATCGAAAATGGGGGTTACACTTATATGAGGACTCATCATCTAACTTGACCTGTCTGCAAACAAAAGACAACTCTATAGAAAAGTTTGACGATCTATCTCAATACTTTTAGAAGCTAAAGTGATTACAACAGACGGACATGATTATGTCGTCATCAATATATTATTATATTAGGTTAGGGAGAAAGAAATCCATTAGGCATGTCGTCGAAAATATCGATAAAATCGGAGAAATGATCGAAGTTAACCGTCATGTTAGCAAACGTAACATCACCCAGGAGCTAAAAATGGACCATACAACTGTTTTAAACCATTTACACAAAGCTGGATTCAAACAGAAGCTCGATGTTTGGGTTCCACACCAATTAACAGAAAAAATAGGATGGTGGGACTGGAAGTAGATTATTTATTATGAGTGGCTTCCATACGGCGAAACTCTAAATTCTGATCTCTACTGTCAACAACTGTACCGTTTGAAGATAGCAATTGGCCAGAAGCGGCCAGAATTGTCTAGCAGGAGAGGTGTCGTGTTCCACCAGGACAATCCAAATAGAGAGCAGGACTTCTATGAGAAAGACATTATGAAGTTACTTTTAAAATGGCAACTAATCATACAACAAAAAGGTGCATATTTGGACAAATCGGAAACCGAAACATGTTAAATAAAGTCTAATAGTTCATATGAAAATAATTGATTTCTTTTTCCCCAAGTACATATTTATAAGGACGGAAATGATTATTTCGATGAGTTACAAATGGTAAAACAAACATAATATACCCTCCATGTTATGGTGGATGGACTCGTTATTACGATCTTAAATAACACTGCAGTGTGCTGAAAGTCGCTCATATAGGTGATCAGAAACGTATGCAGATAATTTCAGTGAATCATCGCCGAAAAAGCCGATTGGTAGCCAGTTTATTTGATTCACAGTTTTATATTTACTGATTCTGTTTATCTTAAATTTCTCATTGAGAAATTCAGGGAATACCAAAAACCTGTCTTATTGTCATATTGATTAGTAACCGGTCACTGAATGTACTCAAAATATTTCAGCTAATAGATGATTTTAACAATGACGTATAACGTATAACTGGAACGTTTACATTGAAAGTGGTTTAAGACAATTTTCTAATATTTTGCTAAGTGGTATTAATTATACCCTTCACCACACTGTGGTACAGGGTATTATGTCTTTGTGCATATGTTTGTAACAGGCAAAAGGAATCGAGATAGACCCATAGTTACTTTCGAGAATATTCATAGAATCACTTTCTGAGTCGATTTACGCATGTCCGTCTGTCCGTCCGTCCGTCTGTCCGTCCATGTATTTTTGTGAACAAAGTACGGGTCGCATTTATGATCCGATTTGGATGAAATTTGGCACAGTTCACTTATTTGGCCCAGGGACGAACCTTATTGAAATTGAGAAAAATCGGTTCAGATTTAGATATAGCTCCCATATATATTTTCGTCCGATTTAAGGTAAATGGTGCACCAAAGTCCCTATATATCGTTCGATTTGCACGAAATTTGGCACAGCGTAATGAATTAAGCCTAGAATAATGTCTGGCAAGTTTCGTAAAAATCGGTCCAGATTTAGATATAGCTCCCATATATAGTTTCGTCCGATTTTATGTAAATGGTGCACCAAAGTCCCTATATATCTTTCGATTTGTAAGAAATTTGGCAAAACGCACTTAATTGAGCTTAGAGTGATGTCTGCCAAGTTTCGTGAAAATCGGTCCAGATTTAGATATAGCTCCCATATATATTTTCGTCCGATTTTATGTAAATGGTGCACCAAAGTCCCTATATATCTTTCGATTTGCAAGAAATTTGGCAAAACGCACTTAATTGAGCTTAGAGTGATGTCTGCCAAGTTTCGTGAAAATCGGTCCAGATTTAGATATAGCTCCCATATATAGTTTCGTCCGATTTTATGTAAGTGATGCACCAAAGTCCCTATATATATTTCGATTTGCACGAAATTTGGCATAACGTACTTAATAGAGCCTAGAGTGCTTTATTCCAAGTTTCCTGGAATGATGTGTGCTGAGTTTCGTGAAAATCGGTTCAGATTAAGATATATATATATATATATCCGTCAGATTTAATGTAAATAATGTACCAAAGTTCTAATATTGCATAGATCGATTGATTTTAAGTAATTGACACACCAAGGAACAAATATATGATTGAAAGAACAAAACGTACTGAAATTAGTATAACCCAACCTGTGAAAAGTTTCGTTGAAATCGGTTCAAATTTGGATATAGATTCCACATATATTTTCATCTAAGGTAATTGGTGCTTTTAAGACCCTATATATCTTTGCACGAAATTTGGCATAGCGTGCTGAATTGCGTCTATAATAATGTGTGCCAAGTTTCATGAAAATCGGTTCAGATGTATATAAAGCTCCTATATATATATATATATAGTCGCCCGATTTTAGGTAAATGGTGCACCAAAGTCTTTGAAAATCATTCCATTTGCACGAAATTTGTCATAGCGTACTGAATTAAGTTTAGAATGACGTGAGCTAAATTTCGTGAAAATCGGTTCAGATTTATATGTAGCTCCCATATATATTTTCGTCCGGTTTTATGTAATTGGTGCATCGATAGAATACATCTTAGGATACATCTGTTGAATATACCCAAAGTGGTGAAGG